TCCGCGCAATATTCGTAAAAAGGGATACAATTTTTTTTCTTCACGTATTAATATATAGATAATTTAAATAATGAAATCGGTTCACATTCTGCTGTAACTATAGATGATATAACGTATTTATATGTTTCCGAAAAACTCTCCTGACAACGAAAACGAAATCATCCAAATCTTCGACTCGATTCAGCTCGACAAGAGTCTGCCTATCACAAACAATGCTCTGTCTGCTTATAAATGTATGTAATGCATTTCGTTTCTAATAGCAAAAACATTTCTGTTTCATACAACTATGAATTGGCTTTGTTTTTATGTTAAATAATTCGCAAAAGGTAATTAACAAAATAGGGAAAAATGGGGGTTTCATGTGACCGGCAAAAATCCCAGCGGATTGGGATAGAAAACGTTACAAAGGATGAAATTACAAAAAAGTCAAATGAAAGCCTGCATCAAAAGGCATCCTAAAAGCATAAAAAGTTCAGTGTACGAAACACAGACTATGTGAGCGTCCAGAAAATGTTAAAACACTTAATTTTCACGAAAAATTTACACCACGGCGTGCGCTTTTATTCATTTTTAGCGGACTTTAAAAAGCGGGGAGATTCTCAATTCGACCGTAAGTTTTTTGAATCGTTTATTGATAAATCGAATGATTTGTGAATCGATTTTGAGGATTTTCTTTATGTTTTAAAGCCAGTGCTTCATATGTGGTCCCGTTTAAATTTTAACAAGATCAGCCCAAGTTTGGTATTTTACCATACCGCCATATCATTTAGCATCTACTATATCTTGGCTACCTTAATATAAATATAAAGTTTTATTTCATTTATTAAAAAACGATACACATAAGTATATTATGGACGTGTATCTTAAAAGCGTTCAAATTTAGATTCCACACAAAAACGACGTAAATAGACTCGTCATGATGCGTCATGGTATAATGCATACGATGACGATGACTCACCTCGGCTTTGCGTCCTACTTACCACTAGAGACCGAAAGCGAGCGTTCTATCCTATACAGGTGAATATCACTACTGAGGATCTATACTGCTTATATGTAATTCCTCTAACATAACCGGCTATTTTCCGTAGATCGACGTCTATTTATCTGTTTAGCATAGGGTTAGAAAGGTCCTGCGAGCACCATCTCATATCTTGTAGCAAGCAAGCTAGCTGCCTCGGTTTCTTGAGCTTATCTTCCAAGTAGGACCTGAACAACAGATTTTCTATAATACATCTTGGCCTTAAGGGTTTGTTGTATGGTCTGTTGATCATGATTTCTCCAACTACTATTCGGAGCTAATGGGATAGGTAATACATCGTTGGAAGACTAGTTGCACAGTAGTTTCTTGTCTCTTTTCAGTTTTAAGGATATCTGTGCATCCAGATTAATAGATAGATAGTTTCTTAGTGAGAATCAAAGATATAATTATTGTTTACAAAGTGTGAGCTATCCTGGGTTCTTGGCCTTTTGGCTTTATGGTCAAGCCTGCAATTGAAGCTATAGATTCAGCGGTATAACTTCCTCTTTAAGTACGTATGTACATATATTGACTTAATTTCAACATTAGGCTAGTTTCGTATCTTCAGCAGAACCTCGTACATTATATTCTATTTGGTTTTTAACATGAGTGTATCCTAATTTTGCAACTTTAACTGATTCGAGCATTGGTATGCTCTACGCTCCTGATTGTCTTAAAGGTTTAACTAAATAAATAGCAAAAAAAACCTTTATCGGGTCTCATCGACGCTGATGTTTTATTTGCGTCACAAAACCTAACCCCTACAGGCACCACTTCACGATCCATACGTCTGGAATGCCTTTGATGTCGAGTGTTGTCGCCACCCGTGTATTCCACAGTTCTACGAATAAATGCCACGGCTCTTTAAAATGGGAAGCAGAATGTTTCAAGCTAGTTTTTCACAAGTATTCACAAAATATTCAAGTCTATATTCCTACAGTTATACACAGTGAACTAGGTACGAGGCATATTACTGAAGAGAATCTGTTTGAATTCTAGTAAAGGTACCTATGAATTAATATATATATACATAATATATTATTTTCAATAATATATGTATTTCATCTTTTTTTTTTTTATGATTGAAGGATTACTGGTGGCCCGGAGGCCTTTCCAGTTTCACCAGGACAGGTGGGCGAGTAAAGGCTCAGCCAGGAGGGGTGGGATTTGCTAACAGCTGCCCGAGCGCCTCCGAAGGAGACCTAACAACTCAAGAGTAGCTGCTTCGCGAATGAATCTACTACCGGATCGGAATCGCGACCCGCTGAGAAGATCCGGCGAGAAACTCAGCGAGCTGATTCATGGGTTAGGTTGCACGGCGAACTCTTTGTCGAGTTCGACGAGTACGGTTACCGAGGTCCCTAAGCCTACTCCTAGAGCTGAAGGCGTCTAGTGCAAAGGTTATTGGATCTGATGGATCCGTAAGGACGTGTCTAGGGCGTCGACGGTGACTGGCACCTGCATGATCAGGATTCGGGGAGTAGTCAGCGGCGGCTACGATAAGGCGATTATCGTGACGCATAGCCTTATCGAAGTACCGTTCCGACGCTGACTTCATGTATTTCTGTATAGATTCGAGGCCCAGGTCGTCGTGTAGGTCAACGTTCCTCACGAACCACGGAGCTCCGACGGCTAACCTGCAAAAGCGGGATTGTAGAGATTGAAGGGTGTCTATGTGTGTGTATTTCATCTCTTTTGCTAAGTGTACGTGTTGAAGTTTAATGCACTAAATGATTATTAATACGGACACAAAAAATTAAATTTGCCATATTTATGGATTTCATAAAGGGAAGTGAGTGATTAATTTGAAAAAGTTACTCCACGTTTATATCCGAAAAAAAGTAAATATGTAAACTATTATTTATTAAAAGAAAATCGTAAACGTAAACCTTTATTCATAAGTGAGATTAAATTAATAAATTTAAATCTCAACATTACAAAGTTTTACTAGCTCATGTGCACCATTTTATTTCACGATTGAACTTGCTGACTAAACGACACTTCAAATATTTAGAACTACTCTTGCGTTAAACCTTGTCGATCGATACCTAAGGGGATCTGGTGAAGGCTTATTACAGCATACGGTATGTGCATAAAGATGATTTTTAAATCAATCGCCCCATCGTAATTCTCTAAAAAATCATATTAGGTATTTGTAAAAAAAACAAGACGTGCACAACTCTCAAAAGATACTTCATTTCTTCGTATTATATAATTAACTGATAGAGAAGATGGAGTTTTTATTAATTAGGAGATTCAGCTGACAACCAATTCAATTGACCACAATGAATTGCTAAGAACTTAATATTATATGAACTGAAGATTCGTGGAGCTTAAAATAATTTAATCAAAAATATAACCCCGCCTGAATTAATTCTATGTATACCACTCTATTATGAATACCATTTAACCACCAATTAACAATCGATGGCTTATTCGTCGTACCAACAAGTATAGCAGTGTCCATGTTGATTTTAATCCGCCAATACAAGTGCTCCTAAAATCTCCTGTATGTTGTAACAGATCTACGCTGCGTAAAGGCCTCAAAGGCCATTGTAGTCAGAATTGTCATGTAGAAAATGTGACGCAGATTTGGCCATGGACTGTAGCTGCAGCAGCATGATAAAATTGTAAATATGCGAGCCGCTTTGTGTTGTGACCCCTTTGTTTCCGACAATACTGTGAAGTAGCGTGTTATTTGGATTTTAAGTGTGTATTATATTATGTGATACAGGAACAGTATTATCACGAATATATGCGAATAGAACGCAATCACAATTAATTGATGGATGTCGAAGTGTCTCGGTTTGTATATTTCAGCTTTTTCTAGAACATATTTATTTTTGTCTAGTCTTGTTTTGTCTTTTGGGATGCAGCTGTGATTGTTAAAAATTATATTTATTTTGTAGAACACCGTTTTTTGAGCAAGTCAATATAATAATATGTTTTTTGAGATTTGGTTCGTAATATTTCGTAATCCCTTGTTTTAACTCTGAAACCTCGATCGACAAAACATAGTCTATATTTAAAACTGTATTACTATTATATATATTTCTATATACTAAAATCATACCGCTATTCTCCTTAATGGTTAATTAAACTAAGAATCTTAACTGCAGTTCGCTTTCGCGCCGTTATCTACTGTGATATTAATGAGGAGTTGAAATAATAATATGATTCACGGTCGTACAGTATATTACACGAAACAAGGCTTGCCTTTAGGGGTTAGGATGTCCAACTTCTAAACAACCTCATTAAAACTCAACCATTTTGTCGGATCCCCAAACGGCTCCCTGAATTCAATGAACTTTTTGTATAATACTGTTTGTTCCCTTCTTGTTATGCTGAAGTATTTCTAAATAGAAATACACATCTGATGTCATCTAAAAGTGTTATTATTTGTGTTAAATGTCACATAGCAACCGGTCATATCCAACGGAGAAGAAGGTAAAACCTTTTTCAAAATTGATCACTTGCTATGACATTGGTATAAGGCGTTTTATACGTTTTCAAATACGTAATATTTTTTATTGCGCTTCTGCTTAGTCGTTACACTGTTGACAGGGAAGTCATGGTCGTCATGTCGTATTGGAGAGAGCAGTTCTGATGCACCTCACGATCCCGCCATCTCTCCTTGTTCGATGCCATCATACTAAACTCATTTAAGGATCCTTATTTACCGCATTACCTACACGAGCAATACTGTATACTAGAAATACTCACGATACACCAATTCTTAAATAATTATTAGAGTAACTAGTTGAGACATAAGACTGGAGGATTGAAATCAAATCTCAACACTATAAAAATACGGCTGTTCTAAATATAAGAAAGCGCAAATGCTCCTCGGCTAATAAAGGTGGGATCTTTCTGTTAATCAAATACTCACCTTATTTGTGTTGAATTAATAACTGTTAGCGCTTGAGCAGACGACCTTACGTCCTGCATGATTTTCAGTGAAACAAAATATTTTATTCATCAGTTTATTAACCAGATAATTATTACATTGATATACGTATTCAATAATGATTATATTAGTATGAATGAAATACAAGCCGCCGTTGTTAGAATTTGCAAAATAAATACACCAAGCTTAATTAATTTAATATGATGGTTTTATTAAAATGGCGGCTAGGTAGGGTCGATATGACACCCTATCATAATTGTGTGATTATAGATGTTTAAAAAATTTCGTGATCTTCAGTTGTTGAAGAAGCTGGTTGCTCGTTGTCCTTAAAGGTGACCGATCGGAGTTGCAAGATAGAGCGCAGCTGTAACGAAGTTACTGGGCACCCCTCAAGATACTGAAACAATAATACATCAGTTGAATTACACGTTATATTCATTTGATTTAAATTTAGACAGGCTTTTTTTTTAAATAATATAATTATAATATGTATATATTATTATATGTATGCTGTATTATATTATATTTATGTACTCTATGCACTATGTTTGTGTTCCTAATTCTTCTTTCCTTTTGCGGGCCTAAGAGAGGCCTGGAAGAGATCTCAACATGAAACAAGTAGTACCCTTGTACTCTGTATCCTTATTGTCGTGTTTCTTCTAACAGCAGTGTGTACAAAATATATTAAATAAAAAACATATTAAATAATATTGTAGAATAGCATAAATTACATGCCAATAACAATATACAAAATCGACCATGTATGCATTAGTGGGGCACATTTTAAATAACGGCTATTTCTTATCAACACAAAAAGGCTAAATCTACACATTCGCACACTCTAGTCTATGGATATATCCTAACACCATCACCGTGCATTGCCATTATTGCTAAAACAGGCTTTGACACATAGTGACGAAAGTCGAACATTAAGGATGTATCCTATTAAATATTGAGAGCGACATCCTTGGATTTGCGACTACACGTGACCCAATTACGTATCTAGGACACGTGAGACTTAGTAAGGTACATCCGACTTCCAAATAAAGTCCAATCACCGGAAACAAGTCTTCTTGACAGCCATCGAAAGTAGTTGTCATTCTGGGCTATTAAGATCTCATGTTTCATGTTGGCGACATTCGTTGTGTAAGCTTAAGCACATTTTCAGAAATAATTTAGTTTTCTAACGATATATTTGTTTTTGTTTTTATTGCTTAGATGGGTGGACGAGCTCACAGCCCACCTGGTGTTAAGTGGTTACTGGAGCATAAAGACATCTACAACGTAAACGCGCCACCCACCTTGAGATACAAGTACTAAGGTCTCAAGTATAGTTACAACGGCTGCCCCACCCTTCAAACCGAAACGCATTACTGCTTCACGGCAGAAATAGGCGGGGTGGTGGTACCTACCCACGCGGACTCAAAAGTGGTCCTACCACCAGTAATTACGCAAATTATAATTTTGCGGGTTTGATTTTCATCACACGATGTTGTTCCTACACCATGGAAGTCAATCGTGAACATAATTTGTTTATAGCTTTGGAATTAACTGCCGTCAGCATGATACCCCTGTGCGTGTGTTTTTAGGGCATAGCCATCGACAGCAAAAACAATTATTATTTTTCTTAATGTCAACTGTTTGCTAGTATGCCTATCGACTTATACATAAAAATATACATGAAACTAATAATAAAATACTTCACGATTATCTCAAATAATTTTTTATAGCCCGAATTTGTCTTGTAATCTTAGAAATCGAACTAACTCGATGTTATTAACATTTAACGATCCCCTTGAACTGATTTTTTGTAATGAAAAAAATGACACCAAAATATCATTTATCGAATTATTTTCGAAGAAAACAGTACATAAATTGCTCTAATGAGAGATAAATTTACAAATTATTTTGTTTACGAACGTAGAAATGAAGGTAGAAATTATGTTCGTATCGTACGATCGATGATCACTATATCCTTACATCGAGCTTAATTCGGGAAAGCTTAGTGGCACGCTAAAAACTATTATCTCTACTTATTATACGTACTTAACAAATGACTTCTACGGTGCATAGCATCGCGCATAAAAATCAAACCCGAAAAAAAAATTGTTTGGTTAATTGCCGGCGGTAAAGCGTCTTATGAGGCCGTACGGGTCGATACCACTATACTGCCAATTCTATGTCTCGTAAATCTATAACGCATTTTGGCGCGAAGAGTGGGGCAGCCGTTGTACGGTAAAACATGAAACTTAGAACTTATGTCTCAAGAGTGGTAGCGGTATTGACGAGGTTGATGTCTATGGGCTCCGGTTGAGACTAGATGAGTTGCCAGCTTGTTTATCCATAAGCAACAAAGAATATATGTATATATCAGCTTAAAAACAAGTGCAGCCGGCGGCTACAATACAACGTAATGCGTGTTGTTCTTATAGATAAAAATGTTATTTATCGCCGAGCTATCCCTAAGGGCGCTTTCTTTCGCACTCAACTTTTATTTATTTATTACATAGATGGGTGAAAGAGCTCACGGCCTATCAAGCGTTACGTGGTTACCGGAGTACTGGTGGTAGGACCTCTTGGGAGTCCGCACGGGTAGGTACCACCACCCCGCCTATTTCCGCCGTGAAGCAGTAATGCGTTTCGGTTCTAAGGGTGGGGTAGCCGTTGTAATTATACTGAGACCTTGGAACTTATATCTCGAGGTTGGTGGCGCATATGCGTTGTAGATGTCTATGTGCTCCAGTAACCACTTAACACCAGGTGGGCTGTGAGCTCGTCCACCCATCTAAGCAATAAATAAAATAAAACACACAAACATAACAACGGGAATCTCTCAACCGACTTCAATATTTGAAGTCTAAATCTCAATTCTATCTATAACGACCTAGCCAACAAATCATACCACAGTAAGTACTAATTGGCGTGTCAAAAAGATCAGCTATCAATTTATGGCCGTATAAAGAAGAAATCGATTTTAACTAAAACGTTGAAAACTATCGTTGGAAAACATTTTTATATTAAAGATTATTATTAACAATCGGATTGAATATTGAATATCAACCAATTACAAAGAGAAATCGTATCGAGCCGCTTTTGTTTTTAAGCCGGATTGTCGAAATTGTGCACTCAAATTAGCTGTTCCGTGATCAGCATTTCCATGTTTTTTGGCTTGCACAAATCTACACAATTTATTATATATCGCATTCATTCCCTGATTAATTGTCCTAAAGGAGGGTGTTTGCAAATTGATAATATTGACAAAAAACGTAACAATATCGAGGGGTATTTCGCTTAATTTGTCTTTATAATTAAAGTTGCATTTTATTTGGTACTAGCTGACCCGGCAGACTTCGAAGTTTCGAAGTGCCTCAATAAAAGACGTAAAGTTTTGTATAAAATAATCTTAAAACAAACAAAAGGAATCCGTCCGACGGGGGACACATCAAAGGAAAAACAATATTGTTATTTTCATTTAACTCCGAGCATTTTCGTATTTATCTAACTTTTAAACCTTCCCTGGACTTCCACAAATAATTCAAGATCAAAATTAGCCAAATCGGTCCAGCCGTTCTCGAGTTTTAGCGAGACTAACGAACAGCAATTAATTTTTATTTATATAGATTAGCATGAACAGTTCTATGTTTTTAATTGAGCTTCAATTAAGCTTACTGTGCTCAAATAGCTGAAAAAAGTTGAAAATTTTAAATGGCTCTCCTGTAAAGATGCACAAATTTCGCTTAAATAGCCTTTCACCTCTAAATATGGCATTTGGGTAAGCTTGACTCGAAACTATCGATTTTCAAATTTTATTCCCATTTTATGAAACTTTTACTGTATTCTAATTTACAATCCGGTTTCAATTTATGCACTGCATCGTCGGCAGCTGACAAAAGCCGGAGTTATAACAATAAAACTACATAAAATAACAACCAACATAAAGTGAGCCCTCATATGTGCATAAGAGATGGCTGGCATACGCTTATTGTAATCCCAATAAATATATTATGACATAATCAGAGTATAGTTACAATGTATTTTGAAGTGAAGCTTACAGTGTGGTAGGTCGATCGGGTACCGATACGATTAAACTCAAGCAAATCGTCATCGTTATGACATGAACCATCGCATCTTTCGCATCTACGCATCTTTCGGATGTTCCACAAAATTACATTTTTTATTTAAGTTGAATTTAACCTTCAAACAATACAAGCAACAATTCAAGCAAGCAAGCAACAATAAATATATTAATGTCAAGATTTTAAGCATTAGCGGTAGGCAGCGGCTTGGCTCTGCCCCTGGCATTGCTGAAGTCCATGGGCGACGGTAACCACTCACCATCAGGTGGGCCTTATGCTCGTCTGCCTACAAGGGCAATAAAAAAAGCTTAATATTTTTATTCAAGGAAACACGATATGCAAAAACAGTATATGTATGTCCAAAGATGAGAATAACAATATATCCGTTCCAACATTTAATTTTATTGGTGAATGTGTTTAGCTTGTGTACGTACCTAATTCTATTATGACCCGTTAAGTGCTCGATGTTCGGGGGATCCTAGAAATTGTATTAATACCTTCGAGCATGCTCTAAACTTGCGTTCACAACATAATACGATTTGGTTAGATGTTAACCGATATACATATATAGGATCGGCTCTCGAAAAGGGTAGTTGCATTTAAGGCAGGTTAAGTAATTTTAATACTAGTCGGCCCCATAAATTGATGGAATTCTGTCGGATTCTAATACTATTTATTATATAAGGTCCATAAACATCACAATATAAATGCTGTCACCTTGAAACTTGAGGTCTGTGTCTTAATTATATAGTGTTACTTCAAGCCCCGATGACCTTCCTCAATGAACCCGTCGCTTGCGACGAAGGGCTCGACGAGTAAATTAACCCATAGACACAGCCCACTGAGTTTCTCGCCGGATCTTCTCAGTGGGTCGCGTTTCCGATCCGGTGGTAGATTCTGCGAAGCACTGCTCTTAGCAGCACTCTGGTTTGAGCTCCGTGAGCTCACCCACACGTCAAGGAGAAGTTGAAATAGCCTATCAAGGCTATCAGCATAGGTAGGAAAGAAAAGTATAGTGATTACGCAATTTATTAAATTTTTTGCTGGTTTCATTTTTGAGATCTGATGCTATTTATTCCGGACGGCCACCGCTCAGGTTTCGGCCACCACGTGTGATTTTTAGACTTCTTACTCTCGTTGAAACGTGGTGGCTCGAGTATTGCCGCAGTGGCTGTCGCGGAACGGGTGCTGGGATTGGTTCGAGGAAAATAACGAAGGCTTCAAGTATGGCGTTCACACGGTCCTCGTGGCTTGACCGGCGCAGGGCGTAGGAGCGAGTCTCTTCTTGTTCGACGGCTCTCTCCTCTTCTTCTGGAGAGGT